TGCTTACATTTACTTATTACTTTATATAGTTCGGGTTAGGGCACAGGTCAGGTTTAGTGTTAGTTTCATGTTAATATGCATCTTATTAAAGTAAGCAAAAAATATCTTAAAATAAAGGCCCAGCAAAAATAAATACCGCATGAACATATGTACTAATATAACATATTAAATCATGCTTTTGTATGCGCAAAACAAAAGTATATATTTTTTTCTTTTAGCACAATTGAAGATACAAACAAATCACATTTTATACCCGAATTGAAAAATGTCGATTATATCATTATTTACTCTTTTATTTGTTCGAAACCCCCATTTGAGTTTCTTTCTCCTGTTGAACACAATAGAAGATAATTTAAAGAACACTGAAAACCGGTAACTATTGACTTGCATAGTATTTGTTTTTCCTACTATAAAAGTCTGGTTACCGATTTTCAACTTTCTTCAGATTTTTATTTTTTTGCTCAACAGAATAAAGAAACTTATTAAGGTTTGGAATCACTGAAAGTTGAAACTATTTAACCTCTGAGTAATATTAATGAATTTGACTTTTTGCTTTATATGGTTCAGGTTAGGGTGCAGGTCAGGTTTAGTGTTATTAAATGAAGTAAATAAAGCATCTTGAAATAAAGCCTTGGCAAATCTAAATTAACATATTAGCAAATGACGCATGAACATATGTACTGATATAGCAGCTAAACAAAAGTACAATTTTAGCACTATGAAGCCGTGCATGGTCTTGAGTGTCTCTTAATGAAATTATTTAGATGATCGCATTCCCAGCGTAAGCCCCGTTAGCATGAGATGCCTAGCTAACACCTGTCACTCCTGACGTCACAATGCACTATTGTCTAAGTGGATTTACAAAGACTACCCATAATCCCAGCTGTCTCACGGATACACACACACACACATACACGCACGGCTCCTATCCTCTACATCAGCCAATAGGAGGGCAGCGTTGAGTCTGATTGGTTGTTCTTCATGCTGCCGCTGCTCTTTCTGTTTTCTTCATGTGTATATATATGCTGTTCTGTTGTTTTCTCTCGCTGTTTCTTGTGTTAGCCGAACGCTTCTTCTCTCGTTGTTTAGGTTTGCTGCTCTTCTCAGTTGCAGTTTTTACTCACACAGTGTCTCTTTCAGCTGCACATGTGATGATGCTGCCTCTGTGTTTCACAATCACTGGTTTCTTTGTCAGTGTTGATGATCAGCTCCTGCTGGAGACTTGGTTGCACATTTATGCCTGTTTGCGTGTTTATTTCTTTATTTTTGTGATTGCAAATGCTTTTCATTCTCTTCACGTTGAAATGCTTTGACTGCAGCTCCTTCAGTGTGTGTGTGTGTGTGTGTGTGTGTGTGTGTGTGTGTGTGTGTGTGTGTGTGTGTGTGTGTGTGTGTGTGTTTGTGTGTGCTGGTTCTGGTGGTTTATGAGAACAGAGATTTGTATAATGTGAGCTAGGTAGTACTTTGTTGAGGTGTTTTATGAGGACTTTAGCTTAAGAATCGTTCTAAGTGAGTTGTTGTGACATTCAGAAGTGTGAGGGTTGGGTTTAGTGGTGCAGTAGAGCTGTACAGTAGCTCTTTACTGTATAAAAGACATTACACCTCTGGAGAGTCCTCATGAAACATCAAAAGCAAGGTGTTTGTGTGTGTTTGTGTGTGTGTGTGTGTGTGTGTGTGTGTGTGTGTGTGTGTGTGTGATTGAATATGTGCATGTGTGTGCTTATGTGTGTGTGTGTGTGTGTGTGTTTGTGTGAGTGTGTACATCTGTGTATGTGCGTGTTCGTGTACATGTGTATGCATTTATGTATGTGTGCATGTAGACGTCTGTCCGGTGTGCATACATGTATGTGTGCATGCCTGTGTGTGTGTGTGTGTGTGTGTGTGTATGTGTGTGTACATGTCTGTGCACATTTGTGTACGTGTGTACGTGCAATTGTGTGTGTGCATGCATGTATATGTGCGTGCGTGTGTGTGTACATGTTTGTGCACGTTTGTGTGTGTGTGTGTGTGTGTGTGTGTGTGTGTGTGCATACATGCATCAATGCGTGTACCTGTGTACGTATGTGTGTTGATGTGTTTACTTGTGTGTTTGCAAGTGCATGTGTGTGTGTAAATGTGTGTCTGCATACATGTATATGTGCATGCATGCGTGCGTGCGTGTGTGTGTGTTTGCATGCATTTGTGTTCATGGGTGTGTACTTTTGTGTGAGTGTAAATGTCTGTGTGTGTTTGTGTGTGCACGCATTTTTGTACGTGTGTGTGTATGTGTGAGTGTATATGTGTGCATATGCTCGTATGTGTGTGTGTGTGTGTGGGTGTAAATGTGTTTCTACGTGCGTGCATGCGTGTGCCTGTGCGTGTTTACGTGTGTGTGTGTGTGTGTGTGTGTGTGTGTGTGTGTTTGCAAGTGCATACGTGTGTGTATGTTTGTGTGCCTGTTGTATACATGCGAGCATGCGTGTGTGCGCGCGTGTGTGTGTGTGTGTGTGTGTGTGTGTGTGTGTGTGTGTGTGTGTGTGTGTGTGTGTGCGCGTGCATGTATTAGTAGTTGTTCTTTCCTCACTGAAGTGCTTCTGTGTTTCTCTTGTTTCTTCTCTCTCTCTGTGTGTGTGTTTGTGTGTGTGTTGCTGTCCTCTCCTCTGCTTGTCTGGTGATGTGCTGTGGTCACTGTAGAGTTTAGAAGAGGAGCTCACCTCTCTGTTTCTGAGTAAGGCCTGTTTCTCGGCTCTGTCTGGCTCCTGCAGTGCCGCTGCTGCTCCAGCAGAGGGCAGGAGAGTCTCAGCTCAGCCCGAGGTGCCGCTTCTCTCTCCATTTCTGCCTGCTCCTCCTGAAAACTAAAGTTCATGCTCAGATCTGACAGTAGAGTCTGAAGAACACTGTGATGCTTCAGAAATGAGCAGAGAGTAGTGATGAAGCAACTCTTTACTTGCTCATTCAGCTTTATAATCATCACATAACACACATCATGAATATTGTGTGCATGCTGATGACAACTGACATTAAGAGTCATTCCCTTGATTGTCATTTTAAGTGCAAAGATGACATTGATTGAGATGTCTTTGCCAAGAAAACATATCTCGTCATAAATCTGTCATTAACATGATTGCCACGAGGCCATTGTACTTGTGTCCTGAATGTAACTGCATCGTTCATATTTTTCTTGATCTCAACTACAGCCATACAAATTAAATTAGTCATTAAAATGTCATTTAATATTAATGATATAACATTTTTGACACTTTTAATGAGAAGTTTAATTATGAATTCAGTTTGTTCTACTGAAAAAGTGATCAGAAAAGTATTAATGACACCATTATAATGGTCTCAAGACAATTATGTTTATGACAGATTTATGACAAGTTTTGTAGTCTTGATAATGTCAAGTTGTCATGACAAAGGCATCTCATAATTGCATTTTAAATCTGAGCGAGTGACACAATAACAGCTGTAATAAGCAGCAATTTTCTCATTCTTGCTATGTCATATCATGATTATAAATATGCCATAACAGCCTTATGAACACTCCCTTCAACCCGAAATTACATTTGACAGAAACCAAAATACTAAATAATAATAATAAAATGAACACTTTAAGGTGCAGTATGTAAGTTTGACACCCAGTGGCTGAACTAGGTATTGTACTCCTGGAGCAAAACACATTCACCCGGCTCCTCCTTTGACGAGTCCACACACGCTCAGGTTGCCAGATTGACATGAGTGTGCATGACTATCCAGCCTAAAGGCTGATTTAAGTCATAAATAAAAACAACAGCACACACTAGAAGGAATATTTTCTATACTAAAGGAGTTTTTGTCCTAACAAACACCGTAAATTTATATTTTAGAAACGGCTTCTAGTTCTCACAACAACAGAAAACTGACAATGATCAGCTCAGGTGCACCTCATGAGCTTTATTCAGTGTTAAATGCTAATAATGTGAGTGTGAATGCCATTTTGCATCACATTTATTACCATACTACTGAAAGCAGCAGCGGATAGTTCACCTCAGATCTGGAAAATAAAATAAATTAAACTCTAGAACTGTGATTCAGTGCAAACCAACACATATCAGTGATTCAGCATCTACATTTAATCATGTTAACGAGGTTTAATATGTGTTAATTAGATTATAAACCTTGCCATTCGTCTGGAGTGCAGTGAGTGCACTATTCTGTGCTTCTGAATGGCTGCATTTACATTTCTGTCGTGTTTCGTCTGGTGCAAACAGCCAAATTGCTCATCACTGCAAATCTCGTCATGTAGCGTGTTGTTAGGACACGGGCTTACAATGCAACATGCTCACATAATGTTCACGCTTGTAATATTTATATTATTTGCTAATAATAAGCCCCTCATGTGGAACTCTGAATCTGCGTTTCATTTCGGAGTCTGCTACTGTCCAACAGAGGTCACATTTCGGTCGCAGACACATGCTTTCAGAGCCTTTCTGAATGAATAAATCAAATATGCTACTTTCCACCAAGGCAACCCTGGCTGCTGGAATATAATTGGCTAAACTGGCATTGGGTGGGTTAAATGACCAAAACATAGACAGCCATTCCGGCACGTAACAAGAATGTTCACTGAGCATGTTTCTGAAATATCTGCAGACATATTATGGTATTTTATGCTATAAAAGAGTCAAAAACTCACATACAGCACTTTTAACAATCACATTTCCCACTATTAATGTTGAAATCTTCACATTTCAATTCACAAAGAGGATAAACCACTAAATTACCACTAAATCGGGTCATCCCTTCACTGTATGAAGTCAGACTGGGCATAAACTTAAGCTAACAACATCCTCTAGTTTCATCTTTGCCGTTGTGTATGTGTGAATCTTCTAGTTGTGTGTGTGCAAGTTTGTGTGTGTGAGAGATCTTCTGTTAAACCTCAGAGAGTGTTTACACCTGCTCTTTCAGCCACGGGTGTAAATATATATGTGTGTGTGTGTGTGTGTGTGTCTTAAACCGTGTGTCCTATGGTTATCTTCAGGCTCCACAGATCAGCTCTTCTCTCCCCGAGGCCGACCGCAGAGACGCCAGCAAGGTGCTCCAGCGTCCTCCTCCAGCTAACCTCACCTGCGTAAAACACACACACGCCTAACACTCTCACACACACTTCTCATCTGTTTTCCATTGCAGACGCTCTCCATCTCGCCAGATCCATCATTCATCCATCTGTCTGTCCGTCCATCTGCTCATCTTTCAGCTTGTCATGATTGTGTCTCTCTCGTTCTGTTGCTTGCGGATTATATGTGTGTGTGTCAGTGTTTATGGACCTTAGTCACATGTTTGAGTTCACACTCAAATGAGAGCAGTGCTGCGAGCCGCAGATGTGGAGTGTGTTCACTGAGATCTTCCTTAAAGGCTAAAGATTTAAATATTTGACCAATGTGTTTAAATATAGTCAAGTACTTTTTTAAATGTAAGTGTTTTCAACACATTTTTAAACATAATACTGTTAATCGGCCATTTCTAATAGTTAATTTCTTTTGTCTTCGTGATGACAGTTGTTATCACCAGCTCGCTCCCGACCACACCATAAAAGGGATCAGATACACAAAAAGCTATTAATGAAATAAAGATTTATTAAAGGGAATAACAAAGTATAACAAACTGGCTAAGGATTTAAAATAAATAAGAAATCAACTGAAATTCAGCTGTAAAAAAAACATAAGATGGTGAAACAAAAGAGTTGGAACAAAATCACCTGTCTGGGGAATAAATCCTGGTTTATACTTCTGCGTCAAGTGATCAGCGTGACCCACGGTGCATGCAACGCGCGTAACTGTACATTTATACTTCTGCGCGCTGTTGGTCTGCATTAACACTTTCGAAACACTAGTTGGCAGTGAGGTGTAAATGTTCCTCTGTGTCGAGTTTCTTCGCTGCTGTTCTGTTTTTTCTGAACACTTCCTGAATGTACAAGTGGCTCAAACTCGCTCATTTTGAGGCAGGAACCGGCGGACGTGCAACAACTTTAACTATGATGTAAACCCAAAACAAAACTTTCCATCTGGAGCTCCTTCACGGGACTCCACACTTGTAAACAAACATCCCTTCGGGCTCGTTTTACTCTCGGTCCCGCCCAGACTCGTCAGCGCTACCAAGCTGACCAATCACAGAGCTCGCGCTACGCGTAGTTGCGAGGTGTAGTTACATTTTTTGAGAGGTGCACGTCAGTGACGCCGACAGCCACAGCGTAGGGCTATGCGTCAGCACGTAGGCAGTGCTGTAGCATACACGTGCACTTGACGTAGAAGTATGAATCAGCCTTAACGGTCCATCAGAGGAAGTGCCGTTCTTCACAAAAAGTTCAAATATATCCTACAGAGACCCAAAGAAATTTCTTTCGTTTTCTTTTTTTTTTTTTTTTTTCTGTGATTTTTATTTATTTATTTATTTTTTTATTTTACATCCTTTGTAAAATAAAAAATCTACAATTTAAAGTTTTTACATTTTTTGTTTTTAGTTTTAATTTTACAACATGTCCGCTGTAGTGGACCACAGGACCATTTTAGTTTGAAACGACAGCCAAACTCAGTCAACAAAACTGGACAGGATATGGCTGTAAAGGGATATTAATCCAATGTTAATATAACAAAAACTAAACTAAAGCCATTTTTTTTTCCTTTTGAATTGAAATTCCTGAAACAGTTTAGTCTGAAACAAAGCCGAAATGACTCAGGCCCCGTTTACACTAGTTTAAAAACGCCGTTTTAGATTAAAAACGATCCGCGTCCACACTAGCTTTCACCTAGCGTTTCTGAACATATCTCCGTCCACACTACGCCACCAATAGCGTATATCACGTGATTATTCGCGCACTCTGGGCATGCGCGTTCTAGCGTATATATTCAGCTGCTCTTGTAAAAAAGGCAGAGTTTAACTGCACAATGGCGCCTAAAACAGACAATAGTGCAAACAGCGCTCCCATTTCTGTGTCCATGTTGTTGTTTACAGTAAATTCTGGTCTGCTGTCTTCCGGTAGCGTTAAAGCCATGTGTTATAGTCATGTGATAGGGGCTTGACGAATAAGGGAAGGATAAGCAATGACACTAAAGCCCCAATCAGGAAGCGAATGTCAGCAGCCCCGCCTCCGTATTCAGATGTCTCCCATAGCAAAACTTAGCGTTTTAAAACTGAGGCCCCGTTTACACTAATGCGTTTTCGTTTTAAAACGCATACATTTTGCTAAGGTTACACCATCTGTCCACACTACACCGGAGTTCTCAAGTGCTGAAAACGGAGCGTTTCGAAAACGCTGGAGAGGCCGTTTTCATTCTGAAACGCTGCTGCTCCGTCTCAGTGTGGATGAAGGAAAACGGAGACATTTGAATACGGAGGCGGGACTGCTGAGATTCGCTACCTGATTGGGGCTTTTGTGTCATTGCGTATCCTTTCCTTATTCGTCAAGCCCCTATCACATGACTTTAACACATGGCTTTAACGCTACCAGAGGACAGTACTGTAAACAACAACATGGACACAGAAATGCGAACGTTGTTTGCACTATTGTCTGTCCATTGTGCAGTTATTCATTTGTTACGTTTAGTAACTCGACCTCGTCGTCTGTCCACAAAAATACCTCTCTTGCTTTCTTTGCCATCGCGTTTAATGTTCAACCGGCGTTTGTTGACTAACAATAACCAAATGCCGAGCGAGACGCATGCTTTGTTTATACTAGAATGCGCATGCCCAGAGTGCGCGAATGATCACGTGATATACGTTTTTGGTGGCGTAGTGTGGACGGAGATATGTTCAGAGACGCTAGGTGAAACGCTAGTGTGGACGCGGATCATTTTTGATCTAAAACGCTGTTTTAAAACTAAAAGGCACTAGTTTAAACAGGGCCTAAAACTACTGTAAACAGGGCCTCAGGGCTCTCTCTCAGGGTATATCAGCTATGTGTGAACTCTTGAATGGTGCTCTAAAAAGTAGTTGTTCGTGAATGCATGTGAACCCTGTGTAGGCATTTTCCAAAGCTATAATGGTTTCTGAGAAACACTTTCAAGATTAGATCCTGCTTCAAGGATTAGCCATTTAGCTGCTTCTCCAGTAAACGCATCTCATTGAACACACTCATTCATCCCTGCATCACAGCCTTGCTTTTGTTTGCATGTACAGGATACTGACTTTGACTAAGGTCTGCACAAGTTTGTTTCCTTCAGTTTGTTTTTAAGTTATTTTCTTCCTGTGGTCATCGTTTGTTTTTTTGCTTTCTCTCTCCATCCCTTGTTTGTGTGTGTGTGTGTGTGTGTGTGTGTCGTTGTCTGGTGTAGAGCACAGAGGTCAAACCTGAGGTCAACGGTCAGCCAGAGGTTGTAGAAGTCGTGGAAGAAACCGTGGTCATCGAGGAGGTGGTCAAAGCCAAGCCCAAAAGTCCCACTCCTGAACCAGAGAGCGCGGCGCAGGACCGCAGTTTATCGTCCGACAGCGAGAGTGAAGACGAGGCTGAGTATCACGCGCACACGCCCAGCATCTCAGTCCAGCTGATCAAAGAAGAGCCAGAGGAGGAGCTTAACCAACAAGCCCCGCCCTCTGAGCCTGAGCCAATCACAGAAACAGAGCCAGCAGTCCCTGCCCCCTCTGCACAAACCGAAGAGGATGAAGCTCCCAATGGACACTCCCCCATTCCAGAAGCCCCGCCCACTGAGACAGAAGAGGAGGAGCCTCACATCGTCAATGGCGGCGTTTCTCGAGTGGAAACGGAGGTTATTTGTTGTTCGGAGGTAATTTTTAATATCAGTTTCAGAGGCCGCCGCCGCTCTTCTTCTCCTCCATTTCCCAAAATCCTTCCCGGATCAAGATCTCTTCAAGCACAGGCTGCTCCTCTTCACCTTTTTTCTCGAAGGAAGAGATCGTAGTATTAAAATAAACAAGCGTTTTGTCTGCTTAAACATCAGTCATTCCATCCTATCGCCTTTTTACGTTGATTTTATTCCTTTATATTCACACACACACACACACACACACTAATACACAGGCTTTTAAAGAGTGTATATTGTACATTGCATGTTGTGTGTCAGTGCATGGTTTTTGTGTAGTGTAGCTTGTTCGATATCCTGATTACTGTACGTTGAGTCTGTTAGTAGACAAACAAGTGCTGATTTGAACACACAACACGGTAAATCAGGGTGTAACAATATGTTTTAACAATTTAACAATGCTATAAACAAAGCCAAACAAGAGTTAAAATGGTATCATTTTCTGAAAAATAAAGTAATTGTAAATAGTAAAAAATTATAATATGTTAATTTAGGCTTTATATCTGACTTACTTTATATCTGAAAAACATCTAAATATGGTTTTCAATTCAATTAATTTTTGTATTTTCAATGTATCGTTACACCCTAAATTATTGTGAGTGTTTTGAAGCGCAGTATGTTGAAATTTTTCTGATACAGCATCCATTCTGCTCTGTGTGTGTGTGTGTGTGTGTGTGTGTGTGTGTGTGTGTGTGTGTGTGCGTGTGCGTGTGCGTGTGCGTGTGTGTGTGTGTTTGTGTGTGTGTGCGCGTGTGTGTACGTGCGTGCGTGCTTTTGCTTGTGCATGTGCTGTTTTATCAACACTACCAAAGAGCTCAGAAACCAAAGCTCCACTAATACATGTCACACACACTTTTGGGTTTGTTTTATTTAATGTATATTTTTATATTATTTATGATTTTTTATATCTATTTTCAACACCTTTGGGGTGTATTTATTTTTGTATTATTATTTTGGACACTTTTGCGGTTGTTTTTTTACATATATTTTTTACATTATTTTTGGGGGTTTTATATATACAGTAACAGTTATTTTTTAAAATAGTTTTAACACTTTTGGGTTTGTTTTTCATTTCTTTTGTATATTATGTTTTATATATATATATATATATATATATATATATATATATATATATATATATATATAAAAACACGTTTGTGCTTATTTTTTATTATTTTATTATTTTATTATTTTTTTGCCTATTATTATTATTAATAATATCAATTTTATATATATGTTTTTGACACTTTGGCTTGTTTTTATTATTATTTTCATTACTCGAGACTTGTTTTATTATTTCTTTTTATTTTAATAATTCTTCCGTTGTATTTTTTTTATATTTTTGACACTTTTGAGCTTGTTTTTATTTCCTTTTATAGGAATTGTTTTTAATATATTTTAACACTTTTGGTCTTGTTTTTTATTTTATTATTAATATTATCATTATTATTTTGTTTTTATATATTTTTTGACACTTTTGGGCTTGTTTTTTGACACTTGTTTTATTATTTATTTTTATTTTATTATTTTATTGGGTGTTTTTTTTTTACCCTTTTGTGCTTGTTTTTATATTAATTTTTTATTATTATTGGTATTATTTTTGTTTTTTACATATATATTTTCAACACATTTCGGCTTTTTTATTATTTTGGACATGTCTGTTTTTTTATATTATTATTATTATTATTTTGTTATAATTATTATTACATAATTTTTTCTTTATATATTGTACACATTCGTGCTCGTTGTTTTTATCTGAGGCTGCTGTAGGCTGCATGCTTTCTACCAAAGAGGTGTAGTTCATAGTGGTTCTTTTCTGCAGTCTGCATGAGCTGGTGTTGGTGTGTGTGTGTGCTGTTAGCAGTGTTTGTGTAGTTTTATTGTCATTATATTCACTCTCTCTGTCTCTCCGTAGCCTCCAGTTGTGAAGACGGAGATGGTGACCATTTCAGACACGTTTGCAGCGCAGAAGACGGAGATCTCCACTAAAGAGGTGCCCATCGTTCACACCGAGACCAAGACCATCACCTATGAAGCTGCGCAGGTAACACAACATCAGAACTTCAGCATTCAGACACAAGAAACCAAGGTTGATTTTGTATTTTTTTTAGATTTAAAGGGCACCTCTTATGCAACAATCACTTTCATTAGAGGTTTAAACACTGAAGCGGTGTGTGAATATTATAGCCAGCTTCTAATAATAAACATGAGTTAATTATATTGTATGTAATGAGACAGTCTGCAGGAACACTTTGATTGACATTCCCCCTATGTACGTGTCATCAGAGGGGGAAACCCCACCCACTAGTGACCATCTCTCCCTCATTAGCATAAACAGCCCTGAGTGTGAAGCAGCCGTCTGTCCATTAGAGTTTGAGTCTGCATCTTGTCAGACTACTGGCTGCTTGCGATGTTGCCAAATGTGAATGAAGCTGTTAGTTGTCTTGAATGCAGAGTGATGCAGCTGTGGCCAGTGTGTGATGCTCAGTGTGTGTTCGGTGTTTGATTGACAGCTGGATGGTAATGGAGACGGAGAGCCTGGTGTCCTCATGACTGCCCAAACCATCACCTCTGAGTCTCTCTGCACCACCACCACCACACACATCACCAAGGTAACTCCCAAACACATAATGAGACAACACACACACACCACCACGTTAACACACACTCACAACCATGGCAACATGCACACATACACACACACATCACCAAAATAACACACACATTACCATGGTAACACATGCACATAACCAAGATAACATGCTCAAACACACACACACACACACACTCAAACATACTGCGACACATCACACACATATACTCTCAGAAATACTCACACATACACACAGACATCAGTGGTGGAAAGAGGACTGAAAAATCATAAGTAAAAGTAATGTTGCTTTCCTAAAATGTAGTGCAGTAGAGTAAAAGCATCTGCTGTAAATTACTCACAGTAGAGTAAACAGTAGCCATCTTAAAGTACTCAAGAGTAGTGCGCATTACACTGTGAAAGACTGATGTGTTTATAGCCCGTCTCGTGTTTGGTACCCTTTCGAAAAAGTGGTACAGTACAGTTCGCTGTTAGGTACCTTTTGACAGTGGAAACAGCCATAAAAGCGTACTGAACCGAACTGAACCACTCAGGGGAAACGGGCCATTACATGCAGTTTGAGAAGGGATGTGTAAACGTAACATTCTGTAGTGCATTCAGTTATCTTCCTGTATTCCTTACTTCATTCATTCCTTTCGTTGTTTGTTCATTCTGTCGTTCGCTCTCTCTTGCTCGTTTCTTCGCTCATTCGTTTGTTTCTTCGTTCACTCGTTCCTTTGTTCGTTCTTTCCTTCATTCATTCCTTTTTCCTCCGTTCCTTCCCTGTTTCCTCTCTTCTGTTGTTTGTTTGTTCCTTCATTCGTTGCTTTCCTTTCTTTCCTCGTTCCTTTTCTTCATTCCTTCCTTCTCTCCTTCCTTCTTTTCATCCTTCCTTTCTTCCTTCCTTCCATTGTTTGTTCATTCTGTCGTTTGCTTGCTTGTTCCTTCCTTTCTTCGTTCCTTTGTTTATTCGTTCCTCCATTCCTTCCTTCGTTTCTTTTCTTCTTTTTTCCTTCTTTCCTTCCTTCTTTCCTTCCTTTTCTTTCTTCCTCCCTTCCGTTGTTTGTTCGTTCTGCCCTTCCTTTATTTATTCATTCATTCATTCATTCGTTTGTTTGTTTTTTTCCTTCATTCGTTTGTTCTTTCCTTAATTGCTATCTTTTTTTATTCACTCACTCAATCATTCTTTTATTCCTTCCTTCATTTGGTTGTTAGTGCATTTGTTTGTTCCTTCCTTCCTGCCTTCAGTTCTTCCTTCCTTCCCTCCTTCCTTCCTTCTTTCCTTCCTTCCCTCCTTCCTTCCTTCTTTCTTTCCTTTCTTCCCTCCTTCCTCCCTTCCTTCAGTCCTTCTTTCCTTCCTTCCCTCCTTTCTTTTTACTTTATTTGTTCCTTCCTTTATTCCTCCCTTCTTTTCCTTTCTTCATTAGATTCTTCCCTCCTTCCTACCTTCAGTCCTTCCTTCAGTCCTTCCTTCCCTCCTTCCGTCCTGCCGTCCTCCAGTTCTTCCTCCCTTCAGTCCTCTCTTCCTTCAGTACTTCCTTCAGTCCTTCTTTCTTCCTTCCTTCGAAGAAAACGTTTCTATTACAGCAGTTTGCGTATTTGAGATTTGTTACTTTACACCACTGACAGACACACATACAGTATACACTCAGACACACACACACATATACAGGCACACACACACAAACACACTCTGACATAAGCACACATGTCTGTCTGTGGCTGGAAGAAAAAAAGAGCTTGGGTTTTAATTAATGAACACCACGCCGGTCAGTCTGACCTGAGATCAGTGTGGTGATGTTAGCTTGTGCAGTGGTTTAAGAGTGTGAATGAGGGTCAGTTCTGTTAGTGTAGCGCATCGTGTGTGTGTTTGTGTGACGCACAGCCTTCTGATCACGCACATGAGTTACCATAGAGACCGGTTCATCCACACGTGTGTTTCCCCGTCATCTGTGTGTGTGTGTGTGTGTGTGTGTGTGTGTGTGTGTGTGTTCATTTTTTCAGTTGTTCCATTACATTTTTTTGTTTGATTTGTTTGCTTTGTTTGTTCATGTGTGTGTGTGTGGTGCGGGTCAGGCGTTGGCCCAGGCTATAAAGGAGGCCAAAGAGCAGCACCCTGACATGTCAGTGACCCGCGTGGTGGTGCACAAAGAGACGGAGCTGGCCGAGGAGGACGACTGAAGCGCAGGTAAACACTCGAACCTCCTCGTGCTCCTGCGGCCCGAGCGCTCGCTTCTCTTCCTCTCTCCTTGTGTGTGTGTGTGTGTGTGTGTGTGTCCATCTCTTTCTTTTTTCCATCTGACCAATGTTTTTGGAGATCTCAGCAGATCCGCAATCCATACACTCCACATTATAATCTGCGCATAAAGAAACAGCCAATAGTAGTTTATATGCTAATGTTAAGGGATAGTCCATGCAAACATTTTAATTAGCTGTTTCCACACTCAAGTTTTCTCCTCTGTTAAACACAAGGGAAGATATTCTGAAGAATGCTGGAAAAAAAGCAGCTGTTCACCTCCATAGAAACACTATATAAGCTGCTTTGTCCAGCATTCTTCAGAGTATCTTCTTTTGTTCTTGCATCTCTGACCTGCCGTTATCCTTAAAGTGTATAAACACAGTTGTGATTGTTTTTTTTTTTTTGTGTGAATAGTTTAAAAATATTAATTTCCTGCTAATATTTGAGACTGTTTAAGGACAGTAACACACACACACACACACACACTCACTCAGCACAATCATGTCCAAATCTACAGCTAGGGATGGCTGATGTGAAACTGTCGTTCCGACACAATGTCGAGATCCAAGTATCAACTCTGGGCTTTAATACCTCAGTTTGCTTAACTGATTCTTTGCTGAAGCTGTTGCAGAGCAATACATAAAAATGACCCCTAGGTGTCACTGTAGAGACTGATTTTGAAATGTTTCAAAGCTTAGACACGTTTGCTTCGACTGTTTCAGTGTTTCACGAAGCCTTGCTTTGCCCACCACGGCGCTCGCTGTTCTCAGACCAGCTGATGCTGTGCATCCACTGATACAGAACATCACTGTTCAGATCTGTTCTGCAGTGGGGTTTTATCATCCACAGCATCAAAACACACCACCACTTTACAAACCGCTGCTGAAGTTTGAGCCCAGATCATCATTCATCAGGGATTGAAGTGTGTTTGTGCTGCCGGCACACTATTCTTGAGATGAAGAGCTGCTTTTACCTCTCTGAGCAGCTACACTAAACCTTAGAAATGCAGAAAGTCTTGATGAAGCATGATTCACACGGGATTAGTATTATCTGGAGACCTTGTGTGATTTAGAAATTTTCCCTCTGATTTCCGTGTGGTGTTTTTGACAGTATAAGCGAGACTTTTGTTTTTCTCAGCTTTACTGACTTATCTCTCAGATACAATGTTGAGGCATTCTATGATTCAGTTCGATGGATAAAAAAAGAAACAAATATCAAAAACTAGGCTGGTTTTAACAGCAGATGCCGCTCTAGGCTATTTTTTTATAGAAGACGATGCTCTAGACTAGTTTTAACAGCAGACGGCACTCTAGGCTAGTTTTTAACAACAGATGCCGCTCTAGGCTAGTTTTTAACAACAGATGCCGCTCTAGGCTAGTTTTTAACAGATGCCGCTCTAGGCTAGTTTTAACAGTAGATGCCACTCTAGACTAGCTTTAACAGCAGACGGCGCTTTAGGCTAGTTTTTAACAACAGATGCCGCTCTAGGCAAGATTTTAACATCAGATGTCGCTTTAGGCTAGTTTTAACAGCAGATAGCACTCTAGGCTAATTTTTAACAACAGATGCCGCTCTAGGCTAGTTTTTAACAGATGCTGCTCTAGGCTACTTTTTAACAGATAGTGCTCTAGGCTAGTTTTTAACAGATGCCGCTCTAGGTTAGATTTTAACAGATAGCGCTCTAGGCTTGTTTTTAACAGATGCCGCTCTAGGCTTGTTTTTAACAGATGCCGCTCTAGGCTAGTTTTTAACAGATGCTGCTGTAGGCTAGTTTTTAACAGATGCTGCTCTAGGCTATCTTTTAACAGATGCCGCTCTAGGCTAGTTTTTAACAGATGGGGCTCTAGGCTACTTTTTAACAGATGGCGCTCTAGGCTAGATTTTAACAAATAGCGCTCGAGGCTAGTTTATAACAGATGGCACTCTAGGCTAGATTTTTACCAGATAGCGCTCTAGGCTAGTTTTAACAGATGCTGCTCTAGGCTAGTTTTTAACAGATGCTGCTCTAGGCTATTTTTTAATAGATGTCACTCTAGGCTAGATTTTAACAGCAGATGGTGCTCTTGGCTATTTTTTAACAGATGCCACTCTAGGTTAATTTTTTAACAGATGCCGCTCTAGGCTAGATTTTAACAGCGGATGGTGCTCTAGGCTATTTGTTAACAGATGCCACTCTAGGCTAGATTTGCGTGCAGACAACACTTAAGGCTTGTGTTTACCAGCAGATGGCGCTCTAGGCTAGTTTTAAACAGCAGATGGCGCTCTAGGCTAGTTTTAAACAGCAGATGGTGGTCTAGGCTAGTTTTAAACAGCAGATGGTGGTCTAGGCTAGTTTTAAACAGCAGATGGTGGTCTAGGCTAGTTTTTAAACAGCAGATGGCGCTCTAGGCGAGTTTTAATAACAGACGAAACTCTAGATTACACAAGCTGAATTCACAGGTCCAAATTTGCTAGAGATGTTGCACACTGAGGACATCTGCTGGTTAAAATGGGCTAATTCTAAAATAAATCATAAAATAATAAATCATTTGCTGGTGTGGACACAAATATAATTATTCTGATATTAATTTCCTTGGTGTGAATGAACCCTGAACAGAGCTGAATGTGTCAGTGTTATAGAGCTCATATTGCGATCATTAGGAGGAGCCATGTTCAAAACTCTCCTTTTTGTCTACATGTCTTCTCTAGATCTCTTCCTCTAGATGTCTGTTCTTCTTTCCGCTCGGTGCACATTTACTTGATGAGTAAATCTTGTGTGTGTGTGTGTGTGTGTGTGTGTTTTCTCTCTCTCAGAGCTGAAGTCGGGCTGGTCAGAGCGGGTCGCCGGTGGAGGAGGAACATCTGCATCTTCTATCATTCACAACCAGAACCACTTAGCTAACATTTGTAGCATTTTATTTTTTTAGTGTTTGTTTTATCTCTATTTTACCCCCCCTCCCCTCTCAAAAGATCGTCTTGACCATTTATGAAGACCAGATTTATGTTATTTTTATTGTCGATTAGTAATTCACATTCCTAGTTCACGGGTTTGGAGAGGAGGAGTCCTGTTGGGGCGTAATATTAATTAATAATAAGAGGAGCGTGAGCATATGAAGGTGACATGAACCATTACTGTAGGGGGCGGGGCTGATGATGGGGGCGGGACTACAGTGTAATTGTCAATTGGTTTTATAATGTCATAATGGGAAGGGATAGCACAGGATGATTGTGATTGGTGGACAGCGCTGTCAATCATTCCTCTATGCAGACCAACATTCCACTGAGAGGATGAAGAAGAACCTCTTGTACCTCTCTGAGAACCAGGTGAAACCTTACACACACACAAAACAAAAACAAGAAACCTAGGCAGCTCTATGGAAAGTTTTGATTTCCAGCCATTTTTCTGGCACCAACATTCAGATATGTATTTGTAGATCATCTTTTTTTTTTTTAATCTGCTGATTTGGTGGAGATCCCGAGTGTTTTAAATCTTTTTAGCGAAATTTTTTGATGAACAAATGAACTGCCAGCGCTGATGTTTGTAGGCCTGTGCTCCGTCTCTTTCTGTCCGCTCCTCATCCCACCCGCTGTATAGCAGTTAAACCGTAGCATTGACTCTCTTTCCTTTTTTTAAGCAGCTTTGGATGATCTGTCATGTTTTTATGCCCCACCCATTGTGTAACACTTCAAATAAAAGTTTGTTTATTCTCTAATTATGCCTGTGTGCTTTGTTGGTTCAGAGTTTTGATGTGATTGTAGTCCAACATTAATAGTTCGTTCAGTTTAACGTTAACATTGATGATTCCTGATGTTAATGTTGCAGTGAAATTAAAATGCCGCTCAAGGCTATTTTTTAAAAAGATGCCGCTCCAGGCTAGATTTTAACAGATGCTGCTCTAGGCTAGACTTTAACAGCAGATGGTGCTCTAGGCTAGGTTTTAACAGATACCACTCTAGGCTAGATTTTAACAGATGCCGCTTTAGGCTAGATTTTATCAGCAGATGCTGCTCTAGGCTAGATTTTAACAGCAGATGCTGCTCCAGGCTAGATTTTAACAGCAGATACTGCTCTAGGCTAGATTTTAACAGCAGATGCCGCTCTATACTAGTTTTAACAACAGACATCGCTCAAGGCTAGATTTTAACAGCAAATGCTGCTCTAGGCTATTTTTTTACAGATGCAGCTCTAGGCTAGATTTAACAACAGACAGCGCTCAAGGCTAGATTTTAATAGATGCCACTCTAGGGTAGATTTTAACAGATGCTGCTCTAGGCTGGTTTTTAACAGATGCTGCTCTAGGCTAGTTTTTAACTGGTGCCACTCTAGGCTAGATTTTAACAGATGCCTCTCTAGGCTAGATTTTAACAGCAGATGGTGCTCTAGGGTATTTTTTAACAGATGCCGCTATAGGCTAGTTTGTAACAGGTGCCACTTTAGGCTAGATTTTAACAGATGCCGCTCTAGGGTAGATTTTAACAGATCTGCTCTAGGCTAGTTTTTAACAGATGGTTCTCTAGACTATTTATACAGATGCCACTCTAGGCTAGTTTTTAACAGATGCCACTCTAGGCTAGATCTTAACAGATGCCGCTCTAGGCTAGAATTTAAAGGGCCATGAAACCTCGTTTCAGCAGGGTGTTTTCACTTCACGCTTGTTTTGCCAACACAACGTGGCGTCTCTGCCATCTACACTCTGACAGTAATGAATATTAATGAAGTTGCACAATAGAGCGCGCTGATTGGTTTGAACCAATCCTTACTCATGCATTAATGCATCACACTGTAAGATGTAATAAGACACACTCTGGCACAGACGTCCAGTCTGCACGCTGGAATACACGCTATTATGTCATGACCGTGACGCAGCTTCAAAAATTAGTTTCAAACCGGAAGTACGAATTTGCTTGAAATAACGCAAAAACAACCAATTTACACTTTTTAGTGAAATATAGGTGTCCTAATAGTGTTTTTAGCAGTGTGGGACACAGATACCACTGTCAACAGCTCAAAAAATGTGTTTTGGTGTTTCGTGACCCTTTAACAGCAGATGGTGCTCTAGGGTATTTTTTAACAGATGCCGCTCTAGGCTAAATTTGCATGCAGACAGCGCTTAAGGCTTGTGTTTAACAGCAGATGGCGCTCTCAGCTAGTTTTAAACAGCAGACAGTTCATATTTGTTTATGTATACAGTAGTGCTTGTTATAAACAATGTATCTGTGCTCTTCATTAATGTGTTCAATTTAATTTGTCCTCATAATCTTTATTCAAATACCATAATGTTTCCTCCCACCTTGAAACACTTCTGGTCACGTGGAATGCCTTTAGGGCTGGGCTACAACTAATAGCCCCGCTGCAAATTACTGATAGCTCCGCCCTAAATAACTTATAGCCTATCAGTTATTTAGGGCAGGGCTGTCTGTCATTGTTGTAGTTGTGTTACCGTGGCAACTGCAGTATCATCACAACAGATCATTTATTGCAGTTGTCGTTACCATAGCAACTATAATCACCACAACAGATCATTTTTTGTGGTTGCTTTGTTACCATAGCAACTGTAGAATAACCACAAATGACCATTTATTGTGGTTGTTGTGCTACCATAGCAACTGTAGGATCACCACAGCATATTTTTTATTGTGGTTGTTGTTACCATATCAACTATAGAATCACCACAATGGACTATTTAGTGTCGGTGCTACTATAGCAACTGTACAATCACTACAACGGATCATTTATTGAGATAGTTGTGTTACCATAGCAACTATAGAATCACCACAACGGACTATGAGGTGTAGGTGTTGTTACCATAGCAACTGTAGAATCACAACAGCATTTATTGTAGTTGTTGCCATAGCAACTAGAATAATAACAACATCATTTATTGTAGTAATTGTTACCATAGCAACTGTAGAATCGCCACAGCAGACCATTTATTATAGTTGTTACCATAGCAACTGTATAATTACCATAACAGATCATTTATTGTGGTTGTTACCATAGCAACTGTAGGATCACCACAGCAGATTTTTTTTATTGTGGTTGTTGTGTAACCATAGCAACTGTTGAATCACAACAGCATATCCATTCAAGTACTGTAGTACACTACTGTGTGTATGTGTGTGTGTTTCTCCAGAGTTCTGCGGCTGTGCTTGTTTGTGTATGGTCGTGTGTGTGTTCCTCCAAAGCTCTTCATCTGGTCTTGTGTGTGTGTGGTGTGTGTCTCCTTTTCTCTGTCTGCTGTCTGAAACAATGCAGATATGCTGTTTGTCGAGGGTCTGCGCTCACGGCCAGCTGCTGCTCTGCTGAGAGACACACCAGAAACACTCGCTCAGACAAACACACACTTTACTGAAGAAACCAGAATGGGCCTTCAACAGGGTACACTGCAATGTTTACTATGAAGGAGTGAGTTGAGTTCATTCATTCATTCATTTTTTTTTTTTGGTTTAGTCCCTTTATTAATCTGGGGTCACCACAGTACATCTTGCAGTTTGTGATGCATTTTGGAAACAGGAGATGAGCCCCTCGTCTAATGCGCCACCTGGCTTGAGAAACCCGTTTAGTCATTATTTGGGTAGCACACATATTCTGAATGCCTTCGGCAGAATCTAAATGAGCCATTTTAATCTAGATTAATTCCAAGATTACAGTCAAATTAATCTAGATTTTAAAAAAATTATCTATGCCCACCTATAAAAATACATATAAATACATACCCAGGTAAAAAGTCCACTAAAATGCTCTTTATTTAAGTACACTTAGTACACTTTTCAGTAATGTACTAAAAGTGCTCTATTTTCACACACTAATTTTGTACTAAATGTACTAAAAGATAGTATTAAGTATATGTTAAGATAAACTTAATACCACCTAAGTGTACTCAAATGTGCTGTTTTGAGACACCCTGAAATTGAACTAAAATGTGCTTTTAACAAACTATATCTGTATTTAAAAAAATATATATTTAGTTACAACTAGAAATACACTTGAACCCTAATTTTAAACATTTAAATATATTTAAGAATAGCATAAAGTATAATATTAATAAATAAAAAAATATACAAAATGTGAAAGCAGCGTGCTAAAATACAATTTAAGTACACTAAGTATATTTTTTAAATAATGAACTAAAAGTGCTCTATTTTCACACTAATTTTAATTTACTAAAAGATAGTGTTAAGTATATGTTAAGATACATTTAATACCATCTAAGTGTACTCAAATGTGCTGTTTTGAGACACCATGAAATTGATCTAAAATGTGCTTTTAACAAACTATATCTGTATTTTAAAATATATATATATTTAGTTAAAACTAGAAATACACTTGAACCCTAATTTTAAACATTTAAATATATTTATGACAAATTTAAAGTATAATAGTAATATATTAAAAGAATATACAAATTGTAAAAAGTGTGCTTAATACTGTATTAAAAGTATTTTGGGAAAATATACTTCTACAATACATTACTAATAGATTTTTTATATATTAACTTATTTTAAACCTAGGATTGGTATGTAAACAGTGTATTAAAAATCAACTAATGTTGAAAGCATTTAACGCACACAATTAAAAAACACACTAATAAAACTCTGTTGGATGTTTTTTCTGTAGTGTACTTTATTGTAGAACACTAAAGATTTATTTAAGTATTGCTGATATTTATTATACTTTTGTCAAGTGTACTTAAGTCCTACTGAAGTATAAACATACTTTTAATTAGTATATTTATAGTGTAAAACCATCAAACTTTTATTTAACACAAAAAATAACAATGTGCTAAAAATGTATTTGCGGGTATTTAAGTGTATTTTAATTGCATTTAATTATGATTTTTTTTCACCTGGGTATAAATGTAGTTCATTTACTTTAGTTATTACTATTGGACTGTGGAGAGACTTTCAACCAGCACAACAACACGTGTCTGAACACGATGTGCCCCTCCAAGTAAAGTCATGACACAATTATACATTACTAACTCGTGACTTCATGTTAGTTACATTTAGCTTAAACTTAAATGTTCATTAAAACATTCATTAACAAGATGTACTAACAAGTAATTAAGGTAGCCGTTATTCACACGTGAGCTCTTGTGACTCGTGTTCTAGTTAAAGTTCTGCCTTTACTCATCATTATTCATAATAAAGTGACGTTTAGTTTGCATATTAACACATCATTATTCCTGTACTTCTGCTGAAACTATACAATGCGCCATCACAGGTCTGTATGTAGTGTTGTTGGTCTTACTGTGTGTGAGTTTGCCGCTGAAGAAAGCGATGAGGAGCAGCAGTAGCGCAGTCACAGGGAGGAAGATCCCCGTCCACAGGAACCATCCCGGCAGCTCGTCCAGAAACACAGCACTCATCAGCTCCTGCACCGCGGGAAAACTGGAGGAACACTACACAAACCCAAACAAAAAGCTGGAGGTAAAGCTGAAACCCGTGATCATTTAGAGGATTTACCGCTGCTGGTTAATGCTTGACTCAATGACCTCTGAACTCAGGAGTGTGTGTGTGTGTGTGTTATCAGAAGAGCAAATTGCATCAACAGAACACACAAACACACACGTCAGTATTCGAGACGAGTCATAAATCAAAACTCCTTTCTGAACAGTACAAACATCACTGTGCCTGCAACTGAGTTTGAGTGCGTTATACTTTTCACCGGTCACTTTATTAGGTACACCTGACTAGTACCCTTTTGCCTTCAGAACTGCTTTAATCCTTCATGGCGGAGATTCAACAAGCTACTGGAAATATTCCTCAGAGATTTTGCTCCATATTGACATGATAGCATCACACAGTTGCTGCAGATTTGTCGAATCTCTCGCTCCACCACATCCCAAAGGTGCTCTATTGGATTAAGCTCTGGTGACTGTGGAGGCCATTTGAGTACAGTGAACTCATTGTCATGTTCAAGAAACCAGTCTGAGATGATTCACGCTTTATGACATGGTGCGTTATCCTGCTGGAAGTAGCCATCAGAAGATGAAGACACTGTTGTCATAAAGGGATGGACATGGTCAGCAGCAATACTCAGGTAGGCTGTGGCGTTGACACAATGCTCAATTAGTACTAATGGGCCCGAAGTGAACCGTTGATACAAGGCAGGATGGATACATGCTTTCATGTTGCTGATGTCGAATTCTGACCCGACCATCTGAATGTCACAATTGTAGGTTGTAATACATTATGCCATTCCATCTGGAAAGGATTTCAGTGGTAATACTTTTCATTTTCAGCATAACGATCCACTTATTGCAGTGAATTCCTATTTGAAGACAGAAAACGGCTGATGAAACACAGACAGTCATGAAATGGTCTCCACAGGGTCAGTCAGTCAGTTGACAGCGGCCTCTCGTGGATTTACGTGAGAACGGCAGGCATGAATTGCACTCGTGAGAGAAATTTGAGATCTCAAAATGCATACACAGCCGCCTCTGGTGCATTCACGAAAACAAACACTTTAAAAAAACGTACCTCCTGGGACCTATTTGGCGCTCTCCGGAGGTGTATATAGGGGTACATTTTCAGAATGAGCCTGGGTAGGAAATGGAAGTTCATTCATTCATTTTCTGTTCGGCTTAGTTCCTTTATTAATCTGAGGTCGCCACAGCGGAATGAACCGCCAACTTATCCAGCAACTTACTGCAGCGGATGCCCTTCTAGCTGCAAGCCATCTCTGGGAAAGGAACTGGAAGTTGCTATAGAGCAGGGTTTTTCAACGTCTAAGACAGTGGGCCTACCTTTTGAAACAACTTATCCATTGGTGCCCCCCTCCTCCCAAACATGCACACACACACACACACACACACACACACACACAAATTCTGGAGGTTTTCCTGCTACCTCATCATGCTTGGTTTCAAGGTGTCGCCGAAGTTTAGCGCGTCTCATGCTGTCATTAGCCAAAATATCTTGACAAACCACACATAAAGGTGGTGGTTCATCAGCTGGTCCTGTCCACGTAAATCCTAAACTCAAATACTGATCATCATATCGTCGTCTTTTGGGTTTAAGCCCTGAACTTGAAGGCTTTGAATCGGGGGGTCTCAGAAACCGATCCATTGCATTAGCAGCATGATTAGCAGGCATATACCTGTATTGGCGGGCTTGCCAAACAGAAGCGAATTCCCAGCTATGGCCTTCTGGGTAAAAAAGGTTTTCTTATTTTTGACGTATTATTTTTTTTAGCTTTGTTTAATTAAAACGTTTAAAAATAATAAAAAATACATATAATAATTAAACTTAATAATTATATTTTTATTATAAAATATTTTTTCCCGCGCCTCCCCTGACATGCTCTGGCGCCCCCCAGGGGAGGCGCGCCTCACACTTTGAAAACCCCTGCTATAGACTTATATTTCAGAATGGGACGTACAGTATTTACAGCTGAATGGGATATTGTTATTGAGTAGGGGGCGGGGTTTTACTTTTAATGCTCCACATTTAACTAACGAATAACTGACAGTTGGAGGGGCGTGGCTAAGCATATCGTGTACAGTATTCTTTGATGATGTCAGAGCGGAAGCACATGGGAATATTTTGATTAAAGATTACCAAAACAAACCGTGGATTAATTGTTCACTTAAAGATTATCGATGTCCACTAGCAAACTAAATAAGCGGATTTGGATTTCATGCGAACTTTAATTAATATCCCTGTACTTGAAATGTCAAACTACTGATTCATCATCTGCTGATTTAGACGTCTGCTGTATTTCTCATCACTGAGAGAAAAATGTTGTTAAAAAGGAGGAAGCATACAAGAGACAGTGGGAATGCCTTTCATGTGTCAGTCTCTGGCTCTCTCAGTATTATCTGCTTGACTCAGCTGTGTTGCTGGTGTTCTGCTTTTCATCATGGAGTGTGTGTGTGTTCGTGTGTGTTCGTGTGTGTGTGTGTGTGTGTGTGTGTGTGTGTGTGTGTTCATGTGTGTGGGGTGTCTTTTCTCCAGAAGAGGATTTGAGCTGAACTGAGACCTGCTTCTACAGTCTGAACTCCAGCGATTCATCTGTCAGCACACAATGACACACTAATGAGCTTTTCAGCCGCTCCGAATTTGGCTCCAAATTTCAAAACGAACTGAAGGGTAAAACTGTAGCTTGGCAAACACCGGAGGGGTTTCATAAGTACCAAAGAAATGGCAGAACAAGGAGATTTACTGTGCTCATTCACCCTAATGAACTCCAGTGGCAGAAAATGAGCACTAATTACTAAAGTGCACCGATGACATGTTTATTGTTTAATTGCTGTTCCCTTACGCTCTCTCTAATTTAATTGGTTGATGGTTTGATATTACAGCACTTCGCCTGTCTTTTCATTACTTGTCTGATCTGAACAGTTTATCCAATTAGCTCATTTATTTCACACTCATCAATAAGCAGGGATCCCGTTATCCAGGTTTCAGTGCTGACGCAGAAGGAAAGAACACTGTCTTTTATAGTGTTTGCACTTTATTTGCTTCTACAGCAGCTGTGATGTTTTCTGCTATTATACGTGTCCTTCTGCAAAAAGCATCTGTCTTAGTGATCTTTGAGGATCTAGATCACATGTGTCACCCATGACAGTTTGACTACTGTACAGCATTTATGTTAGCATTACATTATGAATGACAGTTGTTATAATAGATCGATCTAGCAAGGTTGCTGCCATTTACACTAATGCGTTTTTGTTTTAAAATGCATAAGTTTTGTTAAGGTTATGCCTGGTGTCCACACTTCTCCAAAACCCAAACCCTACTAACCTACTCTAAACCCTAACCCCTAATCTTACTAAACTACTTCAAACCCTAACCTAAACCTACTAAACAACTTCAAACCCTAACCTTAACCTGCTCTAAACCCTAACCCTAGTAAACTTCTCTAAACCCTAACCCTACTAAAGTACTTTAAGCCCTAACTCTACTTAACTACTGCAAACCCTAACCCCTAATCTTACAACACTACTTCAAACCCTAACCCTATTAAAATACTTTAAGCCCTGTCCCCACTAAACTACTTTAAACTCTAACCTAAACCGTACTAAACTACTTCAAACCCTAATCTCACTAAACTACTCTAAACCCTAACCCTACTAAGCTGCTCTAAACCCAAACACCTAACTGTGCTAAACTACTCCTAACCCTAATCCTAACCCTATTAAACTTCTCTAAACCCCAACCTGAACCCTAATCCTTTTAAACAACTCTAAACTCTAACTCATAACCCTGCTAAACTACTCTAAACCCTAACCCTACTAAACTACTCCAAACCCTAACCCCTAACCCTACTAAACTTCTCTAAGCCCCCAACCTAAACCCTTACTTAAACCCTAATCCTACTAAACAACTCTAAACCCTAACCCATAACACTACTCTTAACCCTAATTCTACTAAAGGGCTCTAAATTCAAACACCGAACCATGCTAAACTACTCTAAACCCCAACCTAAACCCCAACTTAAACCCTAATCTTACTAAACTACTCTAAACCCTAAACTATATCCCTGCTAAACTACTCTAAACCCTGACTCTACTAAACGTCTTCAAACCCTAACCCCTAACCGCACTTAACTACTCTAAATCCTAACCCCTAACCTTGCTAAACTTCTCTAAACCACAACCTAAACCCTAATCCTACTAAACTATTCTAAACCCAAACACCTAACCCTGCTAAACTACTCTAAACCCTAACCCCACTAAATTTATCTAAACCCCAACCTGACCTCTAACCCTACTAAACTACTCTAAACCCAAACACCCAACCATACTAAACTACTCTTAACCCTAGTCCTAACCACCAGAAGCGCACTTTCAGTTGTTATTTAAAATGAAACTACTCAGATGGCGCTCTGTAGCGCGGCAAAAATATGAACAGTGTCCTGAGTCGTGGCTGGGCGCCGTGGACAGCCGCCAACTTGCAGCGCCGGTGTGTGTATCCTGACAGAAACCTTCTGGTGTGCGACCCCCTTAAGCCGAAGAAAGATGAATGAATGAATGAATGGTTTTAAATGTGCAGTGTGTAGGATTTATGCCTTGTAGTTCAGTCAGTCAGTCAACAGTGGCCTCTAGTGGATTTACATGAGAAGAGCAGGAATTTTTAAAAAAAGAGAGAAATTTGATCTCAGAACGCGTACACAGCGGCCTCTGGCAGATTCGGTAAAAGAAAAACTACAAAAAAAAAAAATAAATAAATACTTACCCCCTAGGATGTTTTTGCCGTTCTCCAGATGTATATAGGGGTAAGTAATCATAATGAGCCTGGGTTGGATTTTTCAGGCAATTCACTAAGGTCGTACTCACACTAGGTACAGTTGCCTCGAACCGGGCCAAAGCACGCTTGTCCCCCCTCCCGTCTTCACCGACGGCCCTCACTCACACCACAAATGGGCCTCGGCACGCTTACGTCATCGCTGCTGCGCTGTTCAGTGAGAAGCGCTCTCTCACTCAGCAGCACAGTGGAGATTTCTCTAGTTATATCGTTTCAGTCGTTTGATATGCAGTGACATGCAGTCAAATATTTCGCCGAACAGATCCGCCACTTTTGGCGCACAT